AAAAGAAAAGAAAAGAAAAAAGAAATTCAAGTATTTAAGGTACTGAGTTTGTTACAATGGCCACAAAAAATAAAACACAAAGGAATAAATTTAACTCAACTGGCAAATAATATTTTATACTGAAGGTTTCACTGATGAAAGAAGTTAAAAAAGATACAAATAAATGGAAAGGCAGTTCATATTCATGGATGAGAAGCATTAATATTGTCAAAATGTATGTACTACCCAAAGTGATCTAAAAATTCAGTGCAAACCTTATCAAAATGTCAATGACATTTTCCACAGAATTAGAAAAAACAAATACAAAATTAATATGGAAACAAAACAAACCCTAAACAGTTAAAGCAATCTTGATCAAGAACAAAGATGGAGACATAAATCCTGATTTCTGTTATATTACAAAATTATAGAAATCAAAATATTATGATATCAGCATACAAACAAGCTTAAAAAAATATACCAGTAGAAGTGAATATAAATCACAGAAATAAACCAACCCATACATATATAGGCAACTAATTTTCAAAAAAGGTGCCAAGAAAATCCAGTGGGGAAATGTTAGTCTCAATAAATGGTGTTGAGAAAATTGGATATATACATACAAAAAAATGAAATCAGATTCTTTTATTACACAAAAGTAATTGAATCAAAATGAATTAACCCCAAACTATAACACCCCTAGAAGAAAATATAGGGAAAAGCTCATGACGTTGGTCTTGAAAATGTTTTTATAGTGGGTATGACACCAAAATACAGGCAATAAAAGCAAAATAAACAAGGGGTACTAAATGAAAGTAAAATATTTTCACACTCAAAAAGAAATAATCAACAAAATGAAATGACTACCTACAGAACGGGAGAATACATTTGTAAGTCATATATCAATAAGAAGTTAATATCCAAAATTAATAATGGCCTCATATAACTTAATAGCAAAAGAAACAATAACCTGATTAAATAATGGATAAAATCCCTAGAATTTCTATTTTTTAAGTGAGCTGGTCTATAGCATTTTGGTTACCTACGCCAACTAACACAGTTGCTTAAGTAGGGGAGGTGGGATGAAATAGGGACTGAATGCTAATAAGCACAACATTTCTGGCTCAGTGCCTGTGGCTCAAGTGGCTAAGGTGCCAGCCAAGTACACCTAAGGTGGCATGTTTGAATCCAGCCCAGGCCTGCCAAACAACAATGATGGTTGCAACCAAAAAATAGCCAGGCATTCTGGCGAGTGCCTGTGGTCCCAGCTACTTGGGAGGCTGAGGCAGGAGACTCGCTTGAGCCCAGGAGTTGGAAGTTGCTGTGAGCTGTGATGCCACAGCACTTTACCCAGGGGGACAGCTTGAGGCTCTGTCTCAAAAAAATAAATAAATAAATAAAGCACAACATTTCTTTGGGGTGGTAATAAAAATGTTCTACTATTTGTTGTGGTTATAAATAATAACTATGAATATACTAAAAACCATTGGGTTGTTAAATTAATGAGTTTGATTGAATGTGAATTATATTTCAATAAATCTGTCAATATCAAAAGTTAAATCATGTTCATTATATACTTTAAACAGTATGCTGATATTTTCTCAAAACTCATCTCTATTCTATAGCTGACTTCGATGTTGAATCTTGAGTCCTATTTTGGATGTTCATTTTTTGGTTCACATATACATGTGTATATATATGTGTGTGTGTGTATACATATGTGTGTGTATTTTCAAATGTTTTCAATCCACAAAGTGTTTAAAATATAGACAAAAATATTAAATTCTTCAAGGAAAAATAAATTAGAGAGGACTTTATGATTTTTTCTCCTTTTACTATTTCAAAGAATTCATGTACATATGTTTCTGGAAACTTTCTACCCTTTTCAAAGTTAAAGTTTGTAACTGAGGCTTGGCTCCTGTGGCTCAAGTGGCTAAGGCGCCAGCCACATACACGTAAGCTGGTGGGTTTGAATCCAGCTCGGGCCCGCCAAATGATAATGATGGCTGCAACCAAAAAATAGCCGGGCGTTGTGGCAGGCACCTGTAGTCCCAGCTACTTGGGAGGCAGAGGCAGGAGACTCACTTGAGCTCAGGATTTGGAGATTGCTGTGAGCTGTGATGCCACAGCTCTCTAACCAAGGCGATAGCTTGAGGCTCTGTCTCAAAAAAAAAAGTTTGTAACTGAGATATGCTTTACATGGTTGTGGACAGTATCTTTATATATTACCTAGAGTGTTTTCTTATAATTTTATGTTACCTTAGTATCCATTCTGAATCTAAGTTTAATTTTTTCATACCACAAGCAGGACTTAGTTACCATTGATCCAGTTCCCAGTTTTCCACCTTCTCCAATTTCCACATCCTTGTAACCATCTCTCTTTGGGACATGAATACAGAACGTACTTGATGCACCCCACTTATTCTATATCCAACATGGACTACGCAGACATGCTACTGTGAGAACTGTCAGTATGAGCCCATGGAATTCACATCTGCTTTCTCTAAACTAATCAATCTGCTTGGTATTTTCCTGGGTGTCATAAAGGCCTCAACCCATAGTTTCTGTCTCTTTTGCTCACTCCCCACATGCTGGTTGAGAGCTCTGCTTTTCAGCACCCCTCTTCTCTCTAATCTATGAGCAATAAACTGTGTTTGTTATTTCAGGTGTTTTTGTTGTGTTGCTTCCTCTGAATAAACACACTCAGACTGACTACCACACCTAGACCTAATTTTCTTTCCTTCTTCAAGGCTCTCTTAAAGAGTGCCTATCTTGGCAGGAATAAACTGAACATGTGTCAGACAAGAGACACAGTGGCATCTGCCAGCATAAACATGTTTCCTGTGAGAGGGACACCTGGTTATGAGTTGAACAGTTAGGCATTAGGCCATCTTCCAGGATAAGGAATTATCTCATGAAAGGGACACTGTAAACATCCACAACCCAATCTGGAGCCCCATAAGTAATACAGTTTATACTCCCTTTGCAGAGAGAGAGATTTCAAGACCAAATTGAAGAGAAGTGCAATTCTGCTCCGTCATGAACTTATATGTCCTATATTCTACCAGAAGTTGTAGCTCTGAATTCATTTCCTGGCATTTTATGTATTTTCCCCAACATTTTATTCAATGATCAAAATAACTTCCTTTTATATCTTTTTCAATGGTTTTTGATTTGTGCTTTCTGATTCTGATATATGGGTGAATTTTTTAAATTAATTTTCTTTCAAACTTCTGGGGAGGATAACATAGTAATTCAGTATTTTTACTTAAATAAAAATAAAAATTAAAAAAAATCATAGTATTTAAAATAATACATATGAAAGAAGATGCTAAATTTTAATGATTGTTTTAGTATTAATTTCAATAATAAATATTCATAATACAGTTAGTAGATAAAAGAAAACCTCTAATTTATTTCTATGCAGTGTAATTTATGAATAAGAATACATGTTATTTATTAAATAGTAACTCATGCTATAATAGAGTGTTTTTCTAATTTAAATTTCAGGCTCAGCTCTACCATCTGACACAGTGAACAATTGACCAATGGTATGAACTAAAATAAAAGTCAAGTTCTGATATAGCATGAGTGAACCTCAGTAATCTCTGTTTTAACACATTTTGCAGGATATCCTGATATGTAGCCAAGGCTGATAACCATTCAACCACTGTTCTGACTATCCTGATTGTACTGGATTTATAGTCCTCTTCAAATAAACGTTGAATCTTAGGTAGCCCACAGATCTCAGCTTCAGGTATTTTATTTTAGTACCCAATATTACCTTTATAATTTGAATGTATTCTACACTTTTATGTTCTAGGTCATGCCATGGCTGATTTCATGAAGGTTAACAAAATGAAAGAATAGTAATGATTGGCCTTGTAAAACCAGAAAGTCCTTTTATGGATGTTAGGAACTATAGAGAAGGATTAAGTAGAGTTTAATAGTTAAACTACTATGTGGCAAGGCACTAGGTCTTTACAATAGAAAATGCACTAGACATGCAATCAGAAATCCTGGGTTTAAATCTAAATTCCTACTTTGACTTTCTATGAAACTATGAATATAAATGTGTGGTGATAAAGAGAAAAGGATCTGGAACAGACTGACTAAATGTTCATTCAAATGTAGACTCTATAATTTGCTGTTTTGGCAAAATACATGACTTCTCTGTGTCCCTATCACTCCATCTGTAAAATTAGAATGATGATAATAATAGTACCTACTTCATAAAATTGTTATCAGGATTAGATGGGATGACATGCTCAAAACATATACGTTGATGTTTAGCAAATTCTCAACAATTAATGTTAACTACCAATATTATAATTGTCATTAATTTACAAATAGAAATGTATCTACCTTATTCCTAGATTATTGTACGGATTAAGTGATCTTATATTTATACAGTCACTTGTCAATATCCATTATGCATCTACTACATGGTGAATATCATTCAAAGCACAGTGTACAATATCATGATGATGCAGAAATGTCCTCAGAAAGCTTATAATCTAATAGGGGAATTAAAAAGCACCTAAAATAAATTGATAGAATACATAATAAAAAGTGACCTTGTGCTGAAACAGATACACAGGAAACTTCATCTGGAAAAACTAGTTCTTCATTTTATATGTAAACAGAAAAAACCTCAAATAGCCAAGACACTACTCAGAAACAAAGACAAATCAGGTGGAATCACACTACCAGACTTCAGACTATACTATAAATCTATAGTGATCAAAACAGCATGGTACTGGCACAAAGATAGAAAGATAGATGTATGGAACAGAATTGAAAACCAAGAGATAAATCCAGACACTTATCGTTATTTGATCTTCAATAAGCCTATCAAAAACTTAAATTGGGGGAAAGACTCCCTATTTACCAAATGGTGCTGAGTGAATTGCCTGGTGACTTCTAGAAGACTGAAACTGGACCCACATCTTTCACCTCTAACAAAAATTGACTCTCACTGGATAAAAGACTTAAACCTGAGACATGAAATCATAAAGATTCTTGGAAAGAGTGCAGGGGAAACAGTTGAAGAAATTTGACTGGGAGAAAACTTTACGAGGAAGACTCCCAGGGCAATTGAAGCAATACCAAAAATACATTATTGGTATCTGATCAAACTAAAAATCTTCTGCACTGCCAAGAACACAGTAAGTAAAGTAAGTAGATAACCCTCAGAATGGGATAGGATATTTGCAGGTTATGTTTCCGACAAAGGTCTGATAACCAGAATCCACAGAGAACTCAAACTTACCAATAAGAAAAGAACAAGTGATCCAATTTCACTATGGGCAAGAGATCTGAACAGAAGCTTCTCTGAAGAAGACAAGCACATGGTCTACAGACACATGAAAAAATGCTCATCAGCTTTAATCATGAGAGAAATGCAAGTCAAAACCACTTTGAGATACCATCTAACTCCAGTAAGAGTAGCCCACATAACGAAATCCCCCAAATACAGATGTTGGTGTGGATGTGGAGAAAAGGGAACACTTTTCCACTGCTGGTGGGAATGCAAACTAATATGTTCCTTTTGGAAAGAAGTTTGAAGAACACTCAGGGATCTAAAACTTGACCTGCCTTGGATCGTGCAATTACTCTACTAGGAGTATATCCAAAAGGCCAAGAATTAGTTTTCAAAAAAGATATTTGCACCAGATTATTCACTGCAGCTCAATTCATGATATTCAAGTCATGGAAGAAGCCCAAGTGCCCATACACCCATGAATGGATTAATAAATTATGGTATATGTATACCATGGAACACTATGCAGCCTTAAAATAGATGAAGTCTTTACCTCTTTTAGGTTTACATGGAAGGTCCTAGAACATATTCTCCTAAGTAAAGTATCTCAAGAATTGAGGAAAAAGTATCCAATGTACTCAGTACTTCTATGAAACCAAGTTATATTTACTCACACTTTCTTATGAAAGATAAAACACAACTACAGCCCAGGATGAAAGAGAGAAATGGAGTGGGAAGGGAGGGGAGGGGGAGATTTAATAGAAAGGTAAATGACAGGACCACATATATGGAGCATAGGGTGCAAGTCAAATCTGTCAAGTGTAGAACATAAATGTCTTAACACAACAATCAAGTAAATGAAGCAAAAGCTATGTTGATTGGTTAGATGTAAGCATGTCAGATTGTATAAGAAAAAATCGACACATTGTACCCCACATATGCATAAATGTATTCATGATCTATGTGTATATGACTTAATAATTAAAAATAAAAGCGTTAAGGGAAGGAAATGTTCACTTCCCAATAGGGGCTTTTTGGATGGGCTAGCATTAGCTTCAGGGCCTAAAGGGCTAGTAAGACTTAACAATCAAAAATTTAGTGGGACAGCCAAAGTCATTCCTGGTGGTCACAAAGTGTGAAGAAAAGTATAAAGATAGTTAAGACAGATTGTGTAGATAAAACCATAGTATAAGCCATAACGTACTCATCACATTTTAAGGCATGAAACTCTTGAAGCTTATAGAAAAACATTCACTGGCATGATGGCTTTCTATGACAAATGGGAAACCAGAAAATTGCACACTGATTTTTGCAAGAGAGTGTGCATGAAGCATACTCAAACAGTACCATTATGTTATCAACCTCGACCTAACCCAGTTTGCCTTTGTTAACTGGGCCAATTCCCATAGTAGAGAGCAGAAGAATCTGCTGACCTGTGTGTTACCCATCGCCCACTCAGGCACACTAAAGGATGGGCATCCATTTTCAGTATTCCTAGCTGAACTGCAGTTCACATTAGAGAGGAGAAAACTGCAGCCACTGTATTTCTTGGCAAGCTGCTTGAATAAAAATAGAGATCTGCTGACTAAGTATTCGCTGTATCTGCAGACATTTCCCAGCTGGGGAAATAGACTTTTCTCCCCTAATTTTTCCCTTTTTGAATGTTTACTTAAATTAGACCCTTAATCTTCATAAAAAAAGTGTTTGGGGGAGGGAATTGGAATTTTTAAAATATATTTATAGTTATTTGTTTTAATTCTGTGTTTGTTCCAACCATTCTTATTTGTTAATCCTAAAATATGTACTTTTCCTTTTTGAAATGAAACAAGACCTCCATGTATTAGACTTTGAGCCTACACATCAAAACAGTTTGATTTTTATTTAAAAAGGAGAATCTAAGCTTATGATACCATTACTTAAGAAATGTATTCTGGACTCATTGGAGATTTAGAACCATATGGGAAGATGTTGGTGAGCAGGTATATTTATTCATTCAACTAACACTTCTTAAGCACTTGCTACTTTGAGACCTTATTCTAAGTACTCTGCATATGTTAAATTCCTTAATTTTCAGAGTAGTGTATGAAATCCATGCTATTACTAGCACTTTGCAGCTGAGAAAACTGAGTCACAGAGAGACTATATAACTTGTTTAAGGTCACACAGCCAGTCAGGTTAAGGTGAGATTCAAACCAGACAGTCTGGGTCTAGGAGCCAAGCTTGTAACCAACATACTATGCTACTTCTCTGCACAAATGATGATTTTTAAGGACAAAACATCCGATTATAAAAGGGACCATAATCTCTGATCTTCTACATTTTATTTTCTGTCCTAATTCATGACAAAACCACTGCTATTTCTGCTTATTGATAATATCACAGCCCAAAGGAGTGATATGAAATGATCTTGCCTCCATGTGACAGTACTATTAACACTCTCTAGGGTAATATCAGCTCCCAAACCAACAACTATAGCTAAGGCATATGGTTGTTGCAAACCTTCAGTGAGATAACACGAGTGGACTTTCCTGTTATACAGAAGGCAATTCATGAATACCGGAAGAATTGAAAGGGATTAAAATATGTGGTATTCATGGGCCCTCTTCTATAATATGCTTTTTGCAAAAAAAAAAAAAAAAAAAAAAACCAATCAACCAACCAACACATAAGCAAAAAATCGTTCATTTAACAAGCATGTGTACTTGAGTGCAGCGTGTTTAAGTTCCCCTTCAGTCAGCGTAATAGATATTGCGCATACAAAGCTTATAAAATTATAAATATATTTCAATTAGTTGGTAAGTGAACATTGTTATGACTACATCATCGAGAGGAAGCACATGTAATCTATGACTTAAAAGCATGAACTCCAGAGCTCAATGGCCTAGGTTCAAATCCAGGTTTTTTTCTTTTTCGTATTAACTGCGAAATCAAACACAAATTGCCAAACTCTCTTTGCCTCAATTGCCTAGTTTGTGAAATGGACTGGGTAATGCCACCTACTTCACTGGTTTCCCCTGAGGATAAACTACACCAATTCACATGGAACACTGAGAATGTTGCCAGACACATAATAACTGCTATATAGATAGTAAAACTCTTACATAAGTGTTTCCTTTTACTCTAAATAAATTTGAAAACCATGGGTCTATAACCCATGTAAGAATATATAGTCTATTGAAAGAAGAAAAATTGGTTATGTGCTAGTATTTACCAAGCACAGTGCCAAGAACTGAAACTTAAAAAATAAAAAATAAAGAAAACGTCTGTCCTTTAGAAGTGTAGCCCCTGAGGAAGGTGAGCAAACTCAGCGAAGAGGGAGACTGATTAGAGATGCATTAAAGGAAGCAGGGCCTTTTAAAATGAAGGTCCTTCTACGAAAGGTCAGTAATAGATATGCAATGGTGAGCTGGGGGCAGTGTTTGTAGCTCAGGCTTATGAAAGCATTCTTGTTTTGTATTACAGAGGGAGAATAATAGGTGGATCCAAGGAATGCAAAAGGGAAGGCAAGAGAAGGAAGACCTGAGGTTGTAGAAATGGTGATTAAACTTTTCATAAGAACACAGATGACTAATTTTCCAAATCACTTACATTCCTCAGAGGTAAATAATCACACTTTTTTTTTTGTTTGGATACAGAGTCTCACTCTGTCACCCTGGGTAAAGTGACATAGCATCATCACAGCAACCTCAAACTCTTGGGCCCAAGCTATCCTCTTGCCTCAGTCTCCTGAGTAGCTGGAACTAGAGGTGCCCAACACAATGCTCGCAAAATAGTGCACTTCTCCCTCCCTTCTCCCCCGCCCCTTCTGCCTTAGACTGTACCAACTTTTCCTAATGGGGGTTTGGTTTAGTCTCAGTTGGTATGACCCTTCTTCCCACCACCCCTACTTCTGCCTTGGAGTCTACCAACTACTCCAAATGGATGATTGGTTTAGTCTCAGTTGGCTTCACTTCTTCCCCACCCCTTCCACCTTGGACTCTACTACTAATGGGTGATTTGTTGTCTTAATCTTAGTTGGCATTTCCCCCACACCTTCTGCCTTAGACTCTACCAACTACTCCTAATGGGAGATGGTTGAGTCTCAGTTGGTATCACCCTTATTCCCCCCCACACATCTGCCTTGGGCTCTCTCAACTACTCCTAATTGGTGATGGGTTTTCCTAGTCTCAGATGGTATCACCCTTCTTCCCCCAACACATTCTGCCTTGGACTCTGTGAACCACTCTTAATGGGTGAATGGTTGTCCTAGTTTCAGTTGGTATGGCTTCCCCCCCAAGATTATTACTTGGACTCTCCCAACTACTCTTAATGGGTGATGGGCGTTCCAAGTCTCAATTGGTATCACCTTTCTTCCAACACAAAATTGTACCTTCGACTCTACCACCTACTGCTGATGGGTAATTGGTTTAGTCTCACTTGGCATTACCCTTCTATCCTGTCCTCCACTTCTGACTTAGACTCTACCAACTACTCATAATGGGTGATTGGTTGTCCTAAGTCTCACTTGGTATCTCCCTTCTGCCTTAAACTCTACCAACTTCTCCTAATGGGTTATTGTTTGTCCCAGTCTCAGTTCTTATGACCCTTTCTGTCCTCCTCTGTTTTTCCTTGGACTCTACCAACTACTCCTAATGTGTGACTGGTTGAGTCTCAGTTGGTATCACCCTCCACCTCCACTTCTGCCTTAGAATGTACCAACTACTCATAATAAGTGAATGGTTTAGGCTCAGCGCCTGTAGCTCAACTGGCTAAGGCGCCAGCCACGTACACCTAAGATGGCGGGTTCGAATCCCCAGCCCGGACCCGTGAAACAACAATGACGGCTGCAATCAAAAAAAAATAGCGGGGCGTTGTGGCGGGCGCCTGTGGTCCCAGCTACTTGGGAGGCGGAGGCAGGAGACTCGCTTGAGCCCAGGAGTTGGAGATTGCTGTGAGCTGTAATGCCATGTCACTCTACCCAGGGGGATAGCTTGAGGCTCTGTCTCAAAAAATAAATAAATAAATAAATAAGCGAATGGTTTAGTCTGAGTTGGTATCACCCTTTTTCCCACTTACATCTGACTTGGACTCTACCAACTAATCCTAACATGTGATTGTTTTAGTCTCAGATGGCATTACCTTACTTCCCACACCAAGCTTATGCCTTGGACTCTATCAACTACTTCTACTGGGTGCTAGGTTGTCCTGATACCAGTTGGGATCACCCTTATTCCCTCCCTCCACCTTCTGCTCTGGACTCTACCAACTACTCCTAAAGGGTGACTGGTTGTCTTAGACTCAGTTGGTATCACCCTCCCCCCCCCACTACTACCTTGGACTCTTCCAACTACTCCAAATGAGTGATTGGTTGTCCTCTTCTTCCCTCCTGCTCCCCTTTCTGCCTAACACTCTACCAACTACTCCTAATGGGTTATTGGTTTAGTCTCAATTGGCATCAAAATTCTCCCCCACCCTGCTTTTCCCTTAGACTCTACCAATCACTTGTAATGGGTGTTTAGTTTAATCTCAGGTGGTATCACCCTTCTATTTTCCACCTTCTGCCTTGGACTCTACCAACTACTCCTAATAGGTGACTGGTTTAGTCTCAGTTGGCATCACATGTCTTCCCCACCCACCTCCTCTCCTTTAGACTCTACCAAGTACTCATAATGGGGGATTGTTTGTCCTAGTCTCAATTGGTATCTCCCTTCATCCCCCCTGCTTCTGCCTTGGACTTTACCTACTACACCTAATGGGTGATTGGCTGTCCTAGTCTCAGTTGGTATCACCCTTCTCCCGCCCCCTCTTTTCTGCCTTGGACTGTACCAACTACTCTTAATGGGTGACTGGTTGTCCTAGTCTCAGTATTACCCTTCTTTCCCCCATTTCTGCCTTGGAATATACCAAATATTCCTAATGGTTGATTGGTTTAGTCTCAGGTGGTATCACCCTTCTTCACTTCTATCCTAATAACTGATTGTTTGTCCTAGTGTCAATTGGAATCCCCCTTCATCCCCCCTGCTTCTGCCTTGGACTTTACCAACTAATCCTAATGGGTTATTGGCGGTCCTAGTCTCAGTTGGTATCACCTTTCTCCCGCCCCCTCTTTTCTGCCTTGGATTCTACCAACTACTCTTAATGGGTGACTGGTTGTCCTAGTCTCAGTATTACCCTTCTTTCCCCCACTTCTGCCTTGGAATATACCAACTACTCCTAATAATAGATTGGTTTTAGTCTCAGTTGGTATTACCCTTCTTTGCTTCTATCCTAATGGGGGATTGTTTGTCCTAGTCTCAATTGGCATCCCCCTTCATCCCCCCTGCTTCTGCCTTGGACTTTACCAACTACTCCTAATGGGCGATTGGCTGTCCTAGCCTCAGTTGGTATCACCCTTCTTCAGCCCCCTCCTTTCTGCCTTGGACTGTACCAACTACTTCTAATGGGC